ATGGTACCGAGTCTCTTACTAGCAGTGACACCAAGCGCAGCGGCGATGGGAACTGGTGCCTCGAATTGGAATGGATGGTCACCCTAGAGTAGTAGTGTTGTGAGGAAAAAGGAGGCACTGAAGTTCGGAAAGACGCCAGTGGAATATAGTTCATTTGTCTAAGTAACAAACCTCATGATCTACACGTTGCTAAGATAACAAGAGCGTCCTCAAATGAAATTGGAATCAAAGCACTGAAGCATGCTTTCGGCTTCAAATCATCGCCAGAAGACAGGATGCAGGAAAACAATCTATTCGATTTGACTGTGCATCAGTGTCAGGTTCAGGCTGTAGCGTGAAGAAGCTCGGGTCGCATGATTCCTGGTCATCGGAGTATACATATCCAAGCGTCATGTAAAAAATGCTTCCAAGTCGTAACTGCCCGCTGGCTTTGTACGTTCATGCCACCCGTAGATAGGCCTATATTTGTTCTCCTGTATGAGAAGAATCGATAATCAATCGATAATCTGTTCAGATGCGGGAGAATGCCAACCACGAACAATGTAGCAGGCAGGGTGGACCTACTGAACGCCAAAACCTAGTCGTCATGCTTGAATGAAAGATGAGATCAAGCCAACCCATGTTAGATACTAGAGAACGATCTCCAGATCTACTGTTCATTTGTGAACGTTGCCTTCCTTCCTAGGATTACAGCCGTTAAAAGAGACGAGCTCTCGGCTCCGACTTTGACTAGATCTCTAGGAGAAGCGCTATCTCCGATGTTCGTAGGTAGCTCCAGCGTTACAACGCTATGAACCCTCCCCTGACAGTCCAACATGGACGTAGAAACAAGTCCTCGGAGTCTCAACGCGACGCATCTATTCTTGCTCATCCCCAGGGGAGCAGAGTAGGCAAAGGAATAAATAGACTCTAGAGCACGAAAGAATCAGGCTGACAAGTTGGGACGAAGGCGAGTCCGTCTTCCCGATTGCACTAATCCCAAGCTAATCTGCCAGGCTGTAGAGCGACGGGACTGAGATTGCGGAGATGTATGGAGGGTGGCAGTGAGGCTGGTGCATTTGTCGACGAGCAAGAGACGGCAGATTCCTTGGAGGCCAAAAGCAAACCATCGTAGTCATAATGCAGGTTGAATATTGACCGTTCATCCCACCAGTATAGTCGCCTAGGTCGCTAACCCGTTCCAGATCTATTCCCAGCCAAACCACCTATCGTTCTTCAAGCCGCAGCAGAAACCCATTTGATCTCCGATCGTGAAGCCTGCTCTTCGTCGTCGTTCGCCCCTGTTCTTGGCTGGCAGAAAGGGAAGGAAGCGAAGTCACCAGGACTAGTAAAAAGTTAGCTAGTTGTAGGATGACGTTCAACCCTAACCCTAGCACACCGTTCCGAATCGGGTGAGTTGCCGTTCCGTCTCGTGCGTCTTCTTCTTACAACATCATGTCGACGCCATTGGGTATTCCTCATCGACGAGGCTCCCGCTCGAATGCTAATTCTCACTCTGGCACACCTCTCAGCGGAACACCCGTTTTTCGCTCTGCAACTCCAATCGCTAGTACACCCGACTTTCGTGCTCTCCGAGCTCAGGTAATCTCTGGAACACCTCCAGTAGGATTGACGATACCTCCCCCTAATACGAATATTCCACCGAGGACAACAACAGCAAGTCCAGCGCCTTCCGGAACTCCAGCGTCTGCGGCCGCGATACCTGTTGGAGGACCAAGCAGAACAGGAGGTGTAGACACGCCCATATCGATACCAGTTAACTTGGATGATCTACCAGACGACGAAAAGGCTAGGATTCTTCGAAGGCATTTGGTTTCGAAAGAGGAGCGTGGGCGTGAACCACGCGAAGCTGCTGACTCGGACGAAGCACACGCTCGACAAGATAGTGAACCGTTCCCTGTTCCCTATGCAGCTCCCGGTGCAGACGTTACACACGATATCTATAAATGGCATTCCAATGTTAATGCCCAGAGACAAGCTAGGAGGGTAAGGTCTGCTACATTTTCAGCGCCCGAGAGCTCGAGTGTACTTGTGGAAAGCGATCCGGCATTTCAGCATATACATGAGCCTGGAGGGTTTAGAAGGAATTATGTATTGGTACATAATAACAACAGCAATGACGGTGCTTCGAGTGGGGCAGGTGTTGGCAATGGACACGAGTCGCCGATGCCACCGGTAGTCGTGAATAACTTTATAGATTTCTTGTTTTTGTTTGGGCATTTTGTGAGTATCCTTCTGCACTTCTGTCTATTCCGTGTCTAAACATTGTTGCGGTAGGCCGGAGAAGACCTAGAAGAAGACGATGATGAAGATAGAGATGACGACGAATTCCAAGACGACTTGGAAGGCCGCCCCCATCCTTCTTCCTCCCGTCTTCAAGCTACTTCTGCTCCCATCCCCGGCGTTGGCTTCGACGATGTCGGTCCTACGAATCATCCCCGCTACTAGGTGGAGATGGACCCAAACCATCGACATTAAAAACGTTGGGGAGGTCAAGGTCGAGATCACGAAGACGAGCAGCGTCGGTGTCTAGGGGCGGAAACGCGACTGTTGGGCAAGCCACGTTGATGCTTTTGAAGGGTTTCGTGGGGACCGGGGTGCTGTTTTTGGGGAAAGCGTACGTCTGTTTCGTCGTGCATTGTTACGCCTGCTAACGCGTACGGCGCGTGTTTAGGTTCTTCAATGGAGGAATATTATTCTCTGCGCTATTGTTTCTCTTTATCGCTGTCGTTTCACTACATTCGTTCCTCTTACTTGTGAAAGCGAAGCTTGTGGTTCCAGGGAGTTTTGGAGGCACGTGAACGTCTAGATATCTTTTTCGCACAATCACAACTAAAAACCTGAATCCTTTAGACATCGGAGGCGCGCTCTATGGGCCCTGGATGCGCCACCTCATCCTTTTCTCGATCGTCATCTCCCAACTCGGTTTCGTCGGCGCGTATATCATATTCGTGTCGGAGAATCTGCAGGCATTTTTCAGTAGCGTGTCGGGGTGTGGGTGGTTTATTCCTGTCAAGTAGGGGTCTTTTTTTTTTGCATTAAGTCTTACTCATTCTTTTTACTCCCTTCCCTATTTGGCCTGCTCTCTCCACAGATACCTAATCGTCATCCAATCTCTCATCTTCCTCCCCCTCTCCCTAATCCGAGACATTGTCAAACTCAGCACAACAGCTCTCGTTGCGGATTTCTTCATCCTGTTGGGACTGGTGTATATCTTTGGATCTGAGGTGAGCAAATTGAGCGATGACTCTCGTGACGGCACGTTGCATTGCGTCGCATATCTTCCTTCTTTTCGTCAATGTCAACCAACTAACAGCCCTCTTGCTCCTCTTACCTAGATCTCCCTCGTCGCCGAACGCGGTATCCGTCCTGTAGCCCTTTACAACCCCCGCGATGCCAGTCTATTCGTCGGAACAGCGGTGTTCTCATTCGAGGGTATAGGTGAGAGTCGTTTCGTTTGATTCGTTGCGTTGTATAGCTGTGTTCTGAAAACATATCTCTATGTATATAGGGTTGATCGTGCCGATAGTGGACGCCATGAAGGAACCGCGAAAGTTCGAGGGTGTATTGACGGGTGTTATGGCGGGTTTGGTTGTGTGAGTGTTTTTACTGCACGCACCTTGCTTTTGGGAGTTTCCAGCAAGAGGATGCTAACTATGCCTTTTTTGCTTTTTAGTCTCTTCGGCGGCGCCGGCGCTCTAGCCTACCTTACATTTGGAAAAGACGTCCAAACGGTAGTGCTGGTTAATCTGAATGAGGTTAACCCGGGGAGTCGGATGTTACAGGTGGTACGTTATGCTCACTCTCGCTTTCGTCTCTCCTTACCTGTTCACTCCCACTCAATCATCCTCACTAACGAACCAACTCCCTTTGCCCCCATAGGTCCAATTCCTTTACTCAATGGCCATCCTACTCTCTGTCCCCCTGCAACTCTTCCCCGCTATCCGAATCATGGAGAACGGGTTGTTCACTACGAGGTTCGTCTCGTTCCTTCTTGTGAGATGCCAGGTGATAGCTGAATCTAATGATTTTAATTGATTACTAGGAGCGGAAAGGCGGATAAGAAAGTCAAGTGGATGAAGAATCTATTTCGGTGAGTATTTGTTATCGCGTTTTGTCGCAGTTGGGAGAGGGTACGCGGATAGGTGTTTAGATTGCTTTGATGCATCTGCACCCGCTTCTTTATTGTTTGGTTGCTTCTTTTGTTCGGAGTGGTTGACTAACTACTCGCAAATGATCGAAGATTCGCAACAGTCATTTTCACAGGGTTCATCGCACTGGTAGGAGCCAAAGGATTTGGACAAGTTTGTCGCGTTTGTAGGGTGTTTTGCTTGGTTAGTTTGACCTTTACTTCGTCAACTTTCTTGACCACTTGCTGATTGGCACCCCTCTCACTCCTTACTTCCTTCACCTCCTCCCCGTTTCCTTGTCTCTACCACAGTGTTCCTCTCTGCTACGTCTACCCTGCCATGCTACACTACAAAGCCTGTGCCCGTACTCGAAAACAAAAACTAGGAGATATAGCTATGATCGTATTTGGACTTGCAGCGGCGGCGTTTACGACTATACAGACTGTTAAGGTGCGTCTTTATCTTTGGGTTGTGAATTGGAGGGGGGATTAGTCGACGAGGAGAATGGTGTTTCTGTTTTTGTTTTTGTTTTCGTATCCTTCCACGCTCGCTGCTCATTTGCTCACCTCCCTTCTCGTTCCTTCTTTGCAGTTGATGATCGAACCAACCCCAGGAGCACCACCTGTTGGGGAGTGTGGACCGCCGAGGGTGTAGTGTAGCCCGTTCTGTTCTTTGACTCAGAGCTATTGGAGTTTATGAAGGTAGTTTTTAAACCGGAGTAGACCGAAAGATGGAGGGCAGGAAGCAGGAAGGGGGAGAGCTTGATAATTTCCTTAGTTTTAATACGAATCTGTGTTCACTATAGTAGACATCATCGACATCCAACATGCATTTTATCTCCGATATACGCGAGGCACGCCTATGTGACGAAGCAGCATGGCGCAGTGGTAGCGCGCGGGGCCCATATACACTTTGTACCTCACAGTTGGTATCTTTTCGGAACCCCGAGGTCACTTGATCGAAACAAGTTGCTGCTAGTATACCTCGTTGCTCATGGGATACGTTTTGTTTTTTTTTGCCAGACTCTGAGAAAGTATTACTTATAGTAAGCATGTTGAGGGACTTATTTCATATTTAGACAAGCCATCCTTGGAGTTGAGCAACAAGAAGGGTGTACTACAGGGCAGGGTTTGAGTGATAGTTGGTTATACATATATATTTTTCCCGAGTCTCCACCAAAACATCTTCTGGACATGCCAAAGACACACTGAGCCAACGACCTCACTCTCCCAGCTCCTCAATGTAAATTAACATTTAAATGCCATTTGTAAATACATAACCTTCTCGGATCTCAAAGTAATTAAGCATACGGCCTCTCAGCAAACCCAGGAAGAATGACTGCATTCTGATGCTTTTTATCATCCTGATCTCGGAAGGTTCGCTGCCACTTTTGTTTCGCAAAGGTCCACTCTATTTCGCAATAAGTTTTGTAATAAGTAGAAGCTTCGATGAAACGAACCTTCCATAGTAGGGACGGGATTACCAGATCTCTCAAAGTCGTTCTGAGTAATGCCCTCTCTTTGCAAGACGGGCGAATCTTGGATGGTCGCAAGAGGTACATCATTATGTGGTCTATAATTACATAAATGTAGGTTGTTATAAGGAACTTGAAGTCAACGACTCAGCTCACCGAGAAAAGTACAACAAGCCCAGGCGATCGACGTGCTGTTGATCTGCCGGTGGGATGGTAACTCTACAGGATGATTAGGAAATGAGTGCATATATTGACAGAAAAGGACGCAACCGATGAATTGTGCTCTTCACATATCCCCCAGTCAGCATCTGTAAGGCGTCGCAAGCGTTTACCGTCAAAGTTGCATCTTGGGGTTTGACCCACTTCCATTCGTTGGTCGAGTGGTAACGAATTTGAAGGGCAGCGACAGGTTGTCGAAATAGTAGTGTGAAGCTACCCAAGTCTAAAATGACTATGTTATAGATATTTTTCAAGGCGCAGATGTAAGAGATCTGGACTAACCGGTGTGTCCGTAAACCCAGTTCTTCAACGACTTGTTCTCCTCTGTAGAGTACTTGGAATACTTCATATATCTGAGATGATCCTACACGTAACGTGAGTTTCATGGAACGACACAGATAGTAGTAATTTTACCTCGCTTTTCACAGAATATTGGTGCAATTTTGTAAAATAATCCTCCGGAAGCTCGAGAGCAAGTGCGAGCAGGACAAACAATGGGTCTAGAACTTCCGAATGAAGCGCCTGCACAAAGAAGCGTTAAGAAGTGGAGTCCAAGTATGATAGTTCACTGATTCACATACTCTCGCAAATTCTTCGATCTCGGGCAGGTTGTCCTGGATTACCTTGGGGTGGTTTTGCGGAAAATCGCCGTTGAATTCTGCCATGGTGTGTTAGTGAAGGAATGAAACCTCGTTTTTGTTGCAGGCGCATACTCGGGATGTTGTAAATCTCAACCCTACTCCGAAGGCCCGTTTCGCGATTGACGCTGGTTTGAATAAATGTGTCAACGAAGTAATAAGACAAGGGAAAGGTTGGAGCAGCCGTACATCGTTCGGCCAGCTGGGATATATCCGTTGAACTTTCCCTGGTCTTGAAGCAGAATCAGCACGACAAATAACAACAATCGGAGTATGTAGGGCTCACCTAACCCTTCCGGCGTGTATTTCTCCTTCTCCTCAAGGGGGAGTTCGTAAAATTGCTTTCCCAATGTAAACTGGCGGTCAACACGCTCCTGGGAAATGTTGAAGTTCTTCACATAGAAGAACCCTTTCTCCCGCACGGCGTCGATCAAGGTTTTCGCGAGTTGTTTCTTCCCTTCCTCAGTATGGTATAGACTGAGGTCGACAGTGACAAGATCTGCCCAATCAAGATGCTCCTGGGAGCAGTTGAAGGTCCATTATTAGCGAACACCGATGAGAAATTATGAATCCAAACCTTTGTCTCGGGAACATAGTCAAATGAGCCGAGCTGAGGTACTGGGAACTGGCATGGTATACGATAGAGGAACTTAAAGTTCAGTGTAATCATTTCAACTGGTTTATAAGGCTGGCATCAAGATCAACTGACCCTTGAGCTAATTTCTGCCTTGTATCGCGCTATGTTTCTGCACCCAATATTAGGCAGAGATTGCGTGATACAAAGTGTGTGCGAGCTGACACATTTCCACAATTCAAAATGAATCATATATATAGTGGGTAAGCAAGTAGCCAATGGTACACTTACTTCATCTTGCCTTATGAAATTTTCGCCAGACTGGCGTGCAAGGAGCAGTTGCAAGAACTAAACTGTTTTTGGATCTTAAAAAGAACGTTCCATAATGATAACTACAAGGTTCTAACTTCTGAAAGCGTGGATTAGTACATCTAGATGCTCAATGTTGTCCATGACTCACTTGCTTTGCCCGACTCCAGCAGATCCCAAGTTTGAGAGGCAGCGGCGTTCTTTGGCGGCAGCTGCGGTATTCGCGTAACCAACACCATACTGCAGGCCATTCACTGTATAAAATTTGGATGATATGAAACAGGCTGTTCAAGAAGCATAATCTAACGCACCATAACATCTGACTTCCCACACTGTACCATCTTTGGTGGTCTCATCATATCTCAAGTGCACTCGAGAAGAACAAGCCCAATTGCTGAGTTGCAAAACACTGCGGCGTCTCCTTGGCAATCGGACAACTTGGCCACAGACAAAACAGATTTCCTTGTTCGAGGGTCGCTCATAAATTACCACAGCACTTCTGAATGCATCTGGATTGAGTGTGATTTCTTGACGAGAATATCCACCGCATTCAGTGTGGAACCCCCATATATTTCTCCACAGGGATACCAGCCGGTGTGGAAGAGAGACGCTATTGCGTACATCCGAAGTGCCCGACAGAGATTCAAGCCGATCCTGATACGATTCTAGCAAACATGCTAGAGATGCGTTTGCTTGGGAGGCAGAAAACCGCCATACAATTTCGCGGCGACAGCAGCTTCCGCCATGTCCTTCCATATCATTAAATAGGGAGTTGGGTGCAGCTTGGCTGGTGCTCTTGTTTTGTATGTTCGGAAAACTGAGGAGATCTTCCAGTTTGGAATTGCCACCCTCAGAATGGCGATCAAGTTTCTCTCCTGGAAAGAGGTTGAGTTCAGTATATGTGTTGAAGATTTTAGATAATGGAATGCTCACTATAAATTACATGATTTGCGTTGTTGAATGTCTGCCACCAACAATTGGCGTAAGTATTAGGTGCAAGACTCGTATTTGAATACAGAATGTGCGATGATGTACATACTGACCTTCTGTATCAGGAAAGTACACATCGAGATTGCCATATTATCGGTGTTCGACACTTCCAGTTCCTCTTCTTTGACAATCACATTATCGATATCTGGTGTGAATGAAAGTACAGTATGCCCTTGCTCATTTGAGAATATATTGGAACTCTGTTTTGCATGTGGTAGTCAACACTTTCAGTATTCAGATAACCGCTCACCTCTACAATTCTGGCGAAAGAGATATTTTGTTGGAAGAGGAAATCCAGTCCTGACTACACATGGAAGCAATATAAGAGTATGCTGCAAGTTTGAAGAAGATTGTTTACAGCAATGCCATATACCTAGAGAATGTATCCTCAATAAGGTATGCCAATCTGGGAATTTGTGTGAAAGCTCACTGTTCGCATTCCAATTAATGAAGCTTCCTGTGTCCCTGTTCTTAACAAAGATGCAAGTAGATGGTGCGTGCTTCTGCTGCTCGCTACAGTAATTAGGTAGTCAGGATTCCCCTCAATAGTCAAATGACAACTGGCATGTACTTCCGTCAAAAACAATATATCGTGGATCGTCATTAGATTCATTTGGGGATACTCCTCTCAGATTGAGAATATGCGCATTACTAGAAATGTGGTCAAAAACTCTCAAACGTCAAAAATCTCAAAGTGCTTACACCAGGCGGTGAGCCGTAGCAACGACCTGTTCCCATTGCTAGTAGAAAAATGTGGGCTCGCGGCGCCGGTATGAGGTTTAAGCTTACGACAAACCTCCTTTGCATGCCGTCCTTCAAAAGTCTGAACCAGTACTTCAGAGCCTTCTTGAAAGGCACTATTGAATCGTGATCCTTGACGTTTGTATATCATATGCTGGGGACGAATTTCATGTCTTGGGATCTGGTGAACATTCAACCAATAACGCACAATATCTATCACTGGCACAGATATTACGAACCACTTTCACTACTGCTCCTTTAACTCTCATACACTTGGACCACCGACTTGCTTCCAGTGACCCTGATGTAGGCTCGGGTCTAACGGTTGACCTCCATGTGGGAGAATTGCGCGCACCTTCAGAGCTAGTTCCGCCGTACACATTAAATGTTCCACCATTTATCGTGAACGACTTGGAGAAAGGGAACATGGAAGGGCTGAATGCGAAAGTTGGGCGGTGAGATCTAGACAAGAGAGCGATAAAACAAGCATACCCCAAAATAACCGGACTTGCCAAAGCTCGCTAGGAATCGAAATTCAGATAGAATCAACTGTTCAAGTGTTGAACGTTGTAAAAGGCTCACCGATACCGTGTCATTTTCCTCCATTGGAATCCAGGAGTTAATTCGACAGGTCTAGATCTAGTGTGGGACTAATGTCCGAACTCTCTGAGTGCAACAAGCGTAAGAGCAAAGTGTTAAACGTGGGATTGTGGAAGTGGCTGTACTTATGTTACCGCTTAACGGAAAGTGACAAAGCGATTGCGGATTGGAGTGCAAGTTGAAGGGACGTTCAAAACAAGTTCAAACGCTAGGCGGAATTTCTATTCACCCCGACTGAATCCAGAAATGAATGAGAAGTTTGAAGTACTTGCAGCTACCCTAATAAAACGGCCACTCTCACCGACTTGAAATTATTTCAGTAGCATTTATAAAACTGAAAGAAACGACCGCTGCGTAGCAAGATTCCGATCTCAAGGACTAATCAAGTACTCGAAGGCAGCGTTCCCGCCGTACTTGTAGTCTTCGCCCTTT